TGAGATTGAGAGAGAAAGTGTGAGAGAGATTTATTCTCCATCCGAAGGCCACATGTCACATGCCATCATGGTCATATTTGCAGCATACATTATTGAGATAAAGCTGTTCTTTTTGAACAATGATTTAGGGATCCACATTAGCTGCTAGTGTTTTCTTTTACGGTCATGTGGCATACAGTGCACATGTCATCAGGAATAAATCCTATCCCCATCATCCTGCAGCTAAATCAGGCATTTGAGACTGAATTGAGGTCATGGCCCCTTGTCTTTTATAATTCACATAAGTGTTACATACATACTGTATGATGTCATGTTATATGGTCACTTGAAACACTCTGGAAAAAACTTTCTTTTGAAAGAAGGAGGTAACACCCACGGCTGTTGCTGCCCTGTTCCCTGATGTTGGATGACACACGGAGAAGGGATCTATCTGGCAGGCAGTCTGCTGATAAGAGGAGAGAAAACGCTCAAGGGGACCCTAAAATGAAGAGGAATTTTCTCTAAGGAAACAAGTCAAGCCAGCCACTAACCCAAATAGCTATCACTGCCATCCGATCAATTATCACTATTGATCACAGCTATCGAGATCAGTTTAAACTCACAACTCAAATACATTTTTCAGTTGTGGTCCTAATCCTCTTCCGTAACACACTGAGTCTGATGGGTTTTGTTTTTTTATTCAGTTTTTCAAAATATGAGAGAAAATGGAGTCGTCAAGTTGTGAGGATGATTATGTGGACACCTCATCCGTCAGCATTTCCTTAAGTCAGGATGCTGCTGTCGCTCTGTCTCACGCTCTGTTTCTTGCTCTGTCTCCCACTCCTCTCTTATGTCCTTCCTTGCTTCTCTCCACTGGAGGTACCTCCCGAGGCTCTCGCCACTCCCCGCCTGCGTCTTGCATTTGGGATGACGGCTACCTGAAGGGGCTGCGCTGTCCTGCCTCTCTATCTCCACACTGTTGCTCTCCCTCTCTGTATCTGTGCTGTCTTCATCCTCCTCCTTGTCGTCACCATCCACTCGAATATTACTATCTGACCTGTTGAAAGTAGGCTATCTGAGTTATGAAATGATGCTGTGCTTTGATGCAAAAAACACAGAAAATAGAACCTGTTCCGAAAACTATAATGACGGACAAAAGTTTCAGAGTTGGTGTGTAATCCAACACAAAGCCACCAGACTAAAATTATTGATTTATCAATAGAGTCTAGTGGCTTTAACAAGTAGTGACTGATTGTGGTTAAACAAACAGAATCTAACTCTATTAAAAATGGTCTGTCAACATGGATCATTTGCATAATGTTGTCAGACACTTGTAATAACAATCTGTACCTGTCAGTGGAAAAACACTTTAGTGGACATACTTTGACGGGGTGCAATTGCCCACAAGTATTCAGTAGGCCTATATCACTGCTGCTGACTGCAGCGCACTCGCTCAATACTGGACCAATTTAAAACCAATTAGTCGCAGGTTGCAATATGCCAGTTATCCTTTAAGGCATAAAAAAAATATTTATCACAGCTTATATATATCCCTCATGAAATGTTTATGTTTTTGTCATCTCTTTCCTAAAACCACACTATTATGTGTCCGTCTTGCTCTCTTCCATTTGGAAATTTCTTGTCAGCAGATGCTGTGTTCAGACAGTTTCACACAAAAATGTACAATGACCAGCCGTAACAGTTTGGGGCAGAAATGTTTCCATAACATAAGGGCTCTGAATGAAATGAAAGGATCACCCATATACTGTTTAGCTTGTTTATGTCACACTGCCACAAGCAGGGAGGTGACAGTTGGTGTGTTGTGTGTTTGTGTTTGAGCTGTGAGAGGCGCTGGGTGGGTTTTGGTTTTGTCCATCTGTGTGTGGTTTCTGTCTCTCTCGCTCCCTCTAGCCTGTCCTTTCCTCCCTCTCCCTCAGGGCGGACTTGTGGGCTGCACCATTGGGCAGTTCTCCCCAGCTGCAGGCAATCTGCTGCTCACACACCTGTCTCCTGTCATCATCAGGACTAGCTTTTATACCCTGCCATCTCTTCAGTTCCCTGCTGGATTATTAAGTCTAGTTTGTGAGTGATACGATGACCAACTTAATCCTGTCTCCTGTTACTTCTGTGCCTGTTTTTGACTCTGTTTTCCTGTGCCCTGCTTAGTGTTCTTCAAGACCCCTGCTCTGCTCTCATGCCGCTCTGTTACGGAGAATGCCTGGCTGGAGATTTCCCCATTGCAGACTCACCGTCAGCCCTGTTTACCTGCCTTGCCAGGCCTCGCACTTCCCTGCTACACCATACCACACCTGAGGAACCTTACCTCCAGCATCAAGCCTATCTCCCCATATCTTGTGTTAATTAGCTGTGTGAAAATCCTCCTGAGCTGTGTTCTTGTCTGCATCTGGGTTCTGAGCCACGAATTTCCCTGGCAGTTTAGAAGTAGCCCATATGTATGGACTACAGTTGAAAATTAGCCTGCTGGCTAACACTGGCACATTTACAGAAATGTTGATTAATGTGCACTGTCCTTAAATAAATAAATGAGAAAATAAATGAGAAATGTGCACTGAAGTCAGATTTTTCTCCATGGGATTTATTATACTGTGATGTTGCACAGATAAATTGTTAAGGCTATTTACTGTCTCCACTCTGGATCAATGAAGTTAAAAGAGGGAAGGATGAGTGGGGGTAGTGGTGTTTGTGGGGTGGTCATTTACTCTATGGGGACTTGCCCTTGAACATTAAAATCCATTGCATTCCTACCAAGCAGCACGCCATAAAGCGACAGAGGAATCATAATTGACCATGAGTGCAGTGGGTTGGCTGTCTAAAGTACCATGAGGTGTGACATGACATACAATGAGATACAAGTCAGGTGGTTGCAACGTTGGATCTCACAGGATGCAAAAACCTGGAAAAGACATTTGTGAATAGCCCAGGCTAAGTGAGCAAGGCCACATGAGGTTTAAAGTTATTTAAACAATATTTACAACCAAGACAAAATAAATGTAATAATTGAATCTGCAAATCACTGGTGGTTGCAATGTTTAATGTATGTAAATGGTCTGCACTTGCGTAGCGCCTTTCTAGTATTCGGATGAAAGCGCTTTTACACTACCTCACATTCACCCATATATACTGTATGTATATACACCAACGGCAGAGGCTCAGTATCTTACACCTTGGCATGCAGACTATAGGAGCGAACCGCCAATCCTGCAACACTGTTATATGTACATGTGGTGAAGCCTAAATAATCCAGGCCTGTCCTGCCCAGATTTAGCACATCAGGTTAGATGGCTCCGCCCATCTCTACAAGATGGCAACTTGCAATGGGAAAAACATTGGCAGATTATATATATTTTTGAGTATATGATGGATTAGACATATGGTGTCTTCAAAGTGGTTGTGAACAGTTGGCCTTTGACAATAGTTAAGTTGTGTGATGAAAAGAAATCAATAGTCTGTTGAAAATTCCTGTGGTCATCCCCTCCGCCTGCGCAAACAATGGACAGAGCAAATAATTATAGAGGTGAGGAAAAATCAAAAAGACAAAGCACAAGGGAGCAAGACAGGACATAGGATCTGGACATTTTTAGTGAGGTAAGCTGGAGTCACAGTAGGCGGCAGTACTTCTCACAGTGTTAATTAGTGTCCGTGCTGAGCGGGTTTCTGGGACCTGGCCTCCTGCAGCACCCAGCCTGTCTAGTCCTCACCCTAAACCAGCCTGTCTGTGTAAGCACTGGGACAGGGTGAGATGGTGCGACAATGGACAACTTTTTTGACAAGTCTTCTTTTTTCTCCCCATAGCCTCAAGTGGGTACTTAACCTAACCACCATGAATCAGGCTCGCCATGGCAGAAGAATGCAATCGTCTTATTTGCACCACAGCAATAACATCTTACTGCTAAAGGTCTCACAGATTAGCACCGAAAACAGTCCAATGACTCAATGACAAAGAAAAAAAAATACCCCACCTCCTATTACTTATCACCTCATCTTCACCTCTTACATGCCCCATACCCTAAAACTCTGCTGCACTTCAGCTTCAGCCACTTATAGTCCCCATGGTGTCATGCTCTGTAAGTGTCATATGTATTGAGCACATGGTAGTGAATGGCTTTCAGCATGGTGTGCAGGACATAAATAGTCCCTCTTTAAATGAACAATGGGCTATGACTGGCATACTGGAGGTCTGAAGATAGAGAGGCCTCCTTATGGTGCAGTGCACATATGCATTCTACAGGGATTGTATAAGGCTCACATCAAAGTCATTATCTCTCTTACTTAATTGTCTGTTGGAATTGAAGGACCATGAGCTTGTGTCAACGACCATAATAGTAATGGAAAAGTACTGAAAGGGTAAAACATAAAATAAATCACTCAGAACAGTTTTGTCATCACACACCTACACAGTGCACACTCTCCTCAAGCTGGGACCTGAGTGGGAATCATCCTGTGAATGTATTTGTTGCAAAGCCTGATAAGAATTGCTTAGACGTGTCCTCTGGATGTCACAATACCCTGAGGGAGAAGGTGTCACAGAGGAAGATATCAGGCAGAACAAGGACTGCTCTGCTCTGTGATTCCTCTCTCCTGTCTGTGGCTATACCGTTTATTCCTGTGCCCCAGTACTGGCCTCACACATTAATTCCATTGATTTACAGTATTTTTCATCCCATATATATTTAGGGCTGAGCAATTTATATTTAAAATTCTTCAATACAGGCGCTAATGATAATAATTTGAATTGAAAGAACCAATAGGCCAACCAAAATTATACTTTTTTCAGTACTTACTCTGGGAAACATCAATGTTTAAAATGTTTAGCCATGCTAACGATAAATCTCCCACTTTGGTTTAGACTGTAATATCTTAACTATTGGGTGGTTTGTCATGAGATCTTGTATTGACATTCATGATTCTGAGAGGATGAATCCTACTGATTTCGGTGATCCCCTGAATTTTCCTCCAGTAGAATGTCTCAACAACTATTGGATAGAGATGCAGAAGCGAAAGCCATTGAATCACAATGGTTTTATTTTTATAACAATTGTGAACATGCAAGGGGGCAGGCAACGAAAGCAGGGCAGGCAGAGGGAAACAGGACAAAACAAAATGAGGCAGGTCAGGCAGAGCTCTCCAGACTCGAGGACCAAAAATCTGAGACACAAGAAAAATACAGGACGTTAGAAAGGCGCAGCAATCAAAAAATTACACAAGACTTATCTTAGACCTGAAGCTATTACACATGTACCACTGAGTTTAAAAAGACTATCTGGCAAGGACTAAAGTGAAGAGCCGGGGTTTTTATCTGTAAAGGTTGATTGTGGAATTGGCTACAGGTGAGAAAGAAACAATCACTGATTGGCCTTGCATACCACGTGAAATACCATGTAATGTGTTGTATATCAACTGGTGCTACTAAAATTTGCTAGGTTGATGTTAACAACAACAGTGTTTTCTGATGCTACAAACGCTGTTTGATATTGCCTTGACTTGTGTGTTGTGTGGCAAATGAAACGCATCCAACTTGGGTTTCCTTGTCGAGTCCTAAGCTCTGACTTCCAATAATGGAGCGCATTATTCGTTATGACTTTTTGTTTAGTTTTTATTAGTGTTAGTGTTAGTTTTAGTCTTCATTGCTGCAGGATGCCAAGTTCAGTTCAGTTTAATTCAGTCCAGTTTAGTTTTTTCACAAAACATTAAAATACAAGTACAATCATTAGAAATAATGCAGATATGTGTGATTTTTTAAGCTGTGTGAAGCTTGTGCGTAGGGGCCCAAACAATAAGGAAATATATATATTTGAAGTACTAACACATTGTCTAAATAAACACTTTAATAAATGAAGCAGATGCAATCTACAGTATAATTTCTATCCTACATACAGAAAACCCAAAGAGCAAACTATCCTAATCCTACTACCCAGTGGTCCCAAGACATTAATTACATCAGTCTCTAACTCTATCATTCTTGGTTAAATATGTGAAATACAATAAATGGAGGTGAAATACAATTGATGGACAGCTAAGACATTTGAAGATAGTGTCACCTTGGAGCCACAAATAACAGGTCCCTAGCACCCTGAAGGCAAGTAAGAAGTTATGTTAAAATCTAAACCTTTATTAATCAAAAATAGATATCAATGAGATATCAATGACCCCACAAAACACACACTAACTTATATGCACTAAATGTAATGACCAGCAGACATGTTAACCCAGTGCAAGGGGAGCTCACAATCAATGGATAAGGGGCAAGTTTATCCCACACGCAGGATGAGCACTAAGCCAGACCATCAGAACAGTACAAAACGAAACAAGGAAAAGAAAAGCACCAAGACAGTGACTCAATATCTGCAACCCAAACTAAACAAAACACAACTCTATACAGTTGTTGCATTCATATTATTTTGTACATATGTATGTATAAAAGATAATAGAAAACTTGTTCAAACCCCACCAACTAAGCCGATCCCTACCTGAGTCTCCCAGTTAGCCTACCCCTAACGTTACACAGGGCTCTCCTCGTGACAGCGATCGCCACCTGCTATGCTGCAGCCAGACACCGCCCTGACCCGGGTTGTCCTGATGGACAAAGCAATTGTGGCAGGACAGCTACATGAAACGCAGCACGCCAGCTCTTCGTGTGGAGGACAAAAGCATAAGACACCCATGACTCACCAACAGGTGCCTATCGGCTAATCACCACGCGCGCCACTGAACTTCGTCTGGCCAGACCAACTGCCCTGCAACGCCCCTTCCCTCGGCTTCATATCCACCCAAAATGTAGGCTTATTTAGGTCCTATGAAATAAATAAATAAATAAATAAATGAAAATTAAGGACATTTACTCTTTCATTTTAGTTTTGCAAACCTTCACTACAGTTTTAGTTAGTTATCGTTTTATTTCAGTTAACGACATTGTTTTTTCACATCTAATTTTCATTATTTCGTTTGTCTTCGTTAACAATAATAACCTTGATCAGTATCAGCCCTCATAATCTCCAGTATTGGTCTGGTTCTGACAAGTTAAAAGACAATACAATCCTGAGTGTGTGAATAAATCCAAAATGACCCTTAAAGAGGGCGGGTCAGTGCGCTTGTGTAGGCGTAGCATGTATGTGTTTAGCCCTGCAGTCTATGATGTAGCCTAGTGGCAGAGAGATGGAGCCCCAGCCTCACTGCTGTTGTGCCGAGTTGTCCGCACCTCGCGGAACATTTGTATTATTTATCACCATTGATAAACCAGACAAAGAATATTATATTATTTTTAAATAGTACTTGAAATAGACCCGCAAGGAACCATGACATGCATTTGTCGGCCGAACGGCAGCACGCAAAACTCTGCAGAAGACCGTGAATGGCAGACGAGCAGATCAGAGAGGAAATGATCAACAATTAGCCTCAGTTTATCTGTAATGTTAAATGTACAGTTTAAGTTGCAGTGACTAATGTATAGAGGCTGCAAGAAGTAACACTTTCAGTTCATCAGCAACCTCTGTAAATCACAGAGTGTTGAGCAGAGCAGCCGGGGGACATGGGAAACTTAAATGCTAATGTCATGAGGCCCAACAGTTACAATGTTTCTGTTGTAGACAGCGGAGGACAGCTTACTTGTGATGTTGACAGAGCAGCTGTCAACTGCGTGTTTGAGCCACAGAACTAAACTGACAGATGTGCATTGTAGCACGATACTAACAATCTCTCCGAAAAGGCAGATTGTTGAGACATTATAATCGTCCACGATCTAATATCATAATATCGCACACATATCGTCTATGGAATACTATACTAATTTGTTGTTGCAACCTTTCTGTCTGAAATCTGTTCTTACAATTAAGTTGTCCTACAAAAGGCAATTGTAGTATCCCTTTTCGAAGAACATCATTTGCCCAGGCTTCTTTTTCGGTAAAAGGGGCAAAATTATGGAACTCTCTACCAGATCACTTGAAATGTATCCCGACATTAGCCTCCTTCAAAAAAAACACTGCTCTCATATTTAGTCTTTACACGTTGCCCAATCTGTATATATTTTATCCTTTTTTATTTTCTTCCATTGTACTTCATTTTTGTTTTTTGTTTTGTTAAGCTGTATTTTTTAATCAAAAAGCCCTACTAGGGACAAGTGACGTGAATTAGCTTCAGCTAAAAACACTATGATACACACATCAGATGTCTGTCAAAGTTTATCTTTGTTTTTGTATCTGTCCCTATTTAAATAAACTTAAAACAAAACAAAACAAACAGTCCTCTGTGGCACATGCTAATCTTATCAATATCAAACTGTTATTGTGAATGACAAAATTACAGTAATGTGTTGAAAGCACAAGATTATAAATCATAATTATAAGGTCACTGTTAAATTGCAGCCTTATCTAATGCAATACAGTGCAGATTGATCTCTGACAGTCTGGAATTAGAGACAAATTATTAAAGATGAAATACGTAAATATTACCTGTCTTTCAACACCTGGCAAGAGAAGATACTTAGGTGTTAGTCAGACAAAGCATTTGTCGGGTGCTCGGGGTCTTTAGAGACCTTTGTTCCTACATTCTTGAGAATTAAATACAGCACATCACAAAATGAGCCATTAAAATGCATTTTCAAAACTTGTGTCTATAACTGTTAGCCACCTCATTTGTGACTGGCATAACGGTAGAAGTGGCAGCAGCACCAAAAACAAAGTCTTTCATTTTGAGGCACTTGAGCGACTTCTTTTTTTCTCCCTCAACTTTTCAGCACCACCTTTGCATTTTGTCGCATGTCTTTATCCATGATTTTTGAAGCACAAATAGCAGGACTGTGTGTGATTGATTGACATGGCCTATCACATTACAACAGCCCCGCCCTAACCCCCTCTAGGCCAGTAACCACACACTGTGAGCCAGTCGAGCAAGCCACATGCTGATGGATTTTCAACTGCAGTTTTTTGTCTCCGTTTTAATACTATATGATTTATCGGCCCAATTGTCAAGCGGCCTACTGTGAAAACTCCATGTACTAACTATTGCCCGTCTGCCCTTGCAGAAAAACGTAACTTGTGCCATGGCACATTGACAATATATGCTATGTGGGTGGGGTGCAGGCTTAAGGATTAAGTTAAAAACCTACAGACCATTGCAGGCATTATACAAAGATAACAAAGATAGGCAACAAATAATAATTGTATTATAATAATATGTATTTTTTTATTTAGTACTCCGTTACATTACATACCAGCTGACCAAATTTCTATATTTTAATGTCTGTCTGGCATCATAAGGACTGCTTTCATTTCACATCTTGTTGAAACGGTTGCATTCCGATGCTCGCGAGTCCAGTCCGCGAGATTCACCAGAGAAGTTTTGGAAACACACACGAATTGAGGAGAGGAAAGGGAAAAGAGATTTTACATGGCTTTTAATCAAGAATGTACAGACATGTACATTCCTCCCACGGGCAGTCCAATACCAGAATATCTCATAGAACTCCAATGCTAGCTGGGAGGACAAACTAGAGCTCACGTTTCTCACTGAACACGAGAAATTGGTAGCTCTGTAAGAGGGAATGAAAGAGAAGAAGAAGAAGAGGCATTACAGCTATTCATTTGTTATGATGTGTTGAGTGTTTATTAAAAAATTGGTTAAGACTACACTTCATCACTTCAAGCTACACTTTTTATTTCATTTTTTCTAAAAAAATTAGGCACTTTATTTTAGTTTACTTAAATTTAGAATTTATTATTAGAGGAGTTATTTATTATCCCTCCAGTTTGATGTGAAATATTATTTGATTTGACAGTCCGTTGTTGACTAAAAACATATGTTGATACAACTATAAGTTATGATACTGAATGATAACGCAAGTTAGTCATTTTGATGTTCTGGACCTTTGCTTCGGGAAATTTTCTCTAACTGGACCTCTGGAATTCTAATTGAATACCCCTGCTGTAAAGTAAGCATACTCACACCCACACGCAAAAACGCATATTTAACACATAGTCTTCAGTGGTTCCCAGTGATGACAAAAGTACTGAGAACTTTCACTTAATTAAAAGTACCAATACAATATAAAAATACTTAACCTACATTGAAAATGTTAATTAAAGTAAAAGATTTATGAACAAAATGTACATAAAGTATTAAAAGTAAAACATATGCATAAGGCAGAAAAATGGCCCCTGAGCTGTTGCAGAATAGATAACAGCAAGTGTAAAAACAACATATACATAATAACAGCTTTATTTGTATAGCACTTTTTAATACAGGTAACAAAGTGCTTTACAGCAATCAATGTAAAACACAAGTAAAACACAAGTCAAATAAAAACTCTGTCACACAGTGGTGTGCAATGAATAAAACATAAAACAGGTCAATGTACAATAAAGGAAAAATGAATTACACATCAAGTAGTGGCTTGAATTCAACAAATAAAACATAAACAAGTCAGAATACAAATAATGGAGAAATGTGTTACACATCACACACTGAAAGCTATTTTGTCTAAATGAGTCTTAAGAAGTGAGATGAAACTAGGAACAGACTCTGCGAGCCTGATCTCCTCTGGTAGTCTGTTCCAAAGTGTAGGGGCCCTGACAACAAAGGCCCTGTCTCCTTTGGTTTTTAGCCTAGACCTTAGAACAGTTAACAACGCCCTACCAGAGTATCTCAGTCAGTGTCATGGCTCATAGGGGGATAAAAGAGATATACAAAGGTGCTCATGTCTGGCTTTAAAAGTAACAAATTTTAAAATTAGCACTAAAAGAATAAGGATGCTAAAACATCAGAGCGATGAACAGAGAGACTGGTTGCTTGGGGGTACAGTGCTCTGTAAAGTGAGAGCTGGCAACTGAACACATAAATAAAAACCGAAAAAGTACCAGAGAGTGCAACACTGAGGCTACCATCTTTTCTTATTCTTGCACATGTGCATACATCTGCATTTATATTGGCCAGAGAAGAGTTTGACTGTGAGGAATAGATTTCAATTTCCTGTGTAATAGAACTCTAAAATTTGAGTTCTGGGTGCCTGTATGATTGTCAACCTGCCAGCATGAAGTTGATGCCCCTGCCCATTAATGTGGTGTCGGGCGTAGGCAATCTTTATTAAATGCTAAATAAAATGTCTATTTTAATGTCTGCAACCAAAGCACCTCTCCATCTTGCACACTCACAGATGTGCACATTTCCACACAAAATATGAAGAGGATTGCAGGATTCTTTCAGCAATAGCAGAACCAATTTACAAGCTGACAAAGGTTGTTTTGAATACACTCCAGTGCAGTCATCAAGCCTATTTATATCATATTCATCCCAGTAACAGGCACAAAACCTGACCCATCGACGCAATGTATCGTATAATGCAATTCATGCAATTCATCTCCAAGTCAAGCAGAAAACACACACACACACACACACTGAAACATACACTTGTGTATACACTCTTGCACACACTAAGTATGACCACAAACATTCAACCTGTATCCCTTAAGCTTTTTGACTTTTTGGGAGCGCAACACCAGCTTTACGTAGCAGTAGGTAGGTGATTGAGGCAATTGAGATAGGGATTATTGCACATTATTCTCCAAAGCAGTTTAAACATCTTGCATTTTGATTAAAGTCCCACAATCTGTGGTTTATAGTGTGTCTGTTGTATTGCATTAAAGATCATCACATACTAGGAGTTGCCTGGTTAC